TCCCTGTATATGGATTAATTGTATATGAATTTTTGTAATTCTCTGAACTTGCTGATGCTGTCTGTCTGCAAAACCACCTCTGTCAGCAAACTACTGAAACTTTRCTACGTGTTAGGTAAAGGTCTACTTTTTATCTCTCTTAAACAAAACCCTTGGTAGTTTCACTAAGTACGCCCTGCTTCTTGTGCTGCAAGATGTAGTGAAGGTGAGTTCACCACAAGGAACCTTTTTAGCCTCTCCTCGCAATGCATCACAGGCTGTTTACAAAGCGGCTGCTGCCTCTCTTTGTTCATTTTATTTGCTCTTTGAGACCGGTATTAGTGCTGCTAGACACCTCTTGAGACGGAGAAACCAGACGGAGTCTGCGGTACTCGAGGTGCCGCTTTCTGAGGAGTTAGGTAACAGCTCAATGATGTTCATTGTCAGCTTCTCAAAACATTTCTGTGTGATATCCAACATTCTTCCAGCCTCTTGGGCTGCCTCTGCACATTGACCTGAGGGTTTGAGAGCTCTCAGTGCTAAGTTGAAGATCTTTCTTGAGTTGAAACCTGCATTCACAAGCCGTGTTATGTAGACAGGGTTTGCAATGATTTTCCTTTAAGTTCACTGTATAATGTTGATTGACACTGAAACTTCCCTGACTGTTTTTGCACACTTACTCTGTTTTGTGGGGTGGATCTGGGGTTCCTCATCTTCAGCATGGTGTCTGACAGCCTGAAAAATCATGTCATTTGCAAACTGGGGATTTCACTGTTCATTTTGTTCTTTAGAGCACAGATGAAACTGTGGAATAGAAGTGGTCTCAGCAACCCCCGGGTTCCTCCTGGGAACTTGTCTCGAACCTGAGAGAAGTGGTCATTAAACTTTAGTATCCACAAGAACTCTAGCGGTTAAYGACAGTTCGCTTTACAGAAGGCACATGCACAGTTTTGTATAGCCTGTGTTTATCCATGTGATCCTATTKTTATACAATTATTATATAATATGCCCTCCTACCGGGGTAAAAATTGTTCTCACCAATTTGTAGTTCCCATGATCCCCCTAGAACTGTTTTTTTTTCTTTTTTTTTTTTTTTTTTTTAAGCTCCATGGTTTTACAGTGGAATTCTTTCTGGACTCTTGGATAAATGCTGTTCGTGATGTTGATAATGTTTGATGCATGCATGGTGACTTATAAAGGTGTCACTTTTTATTTAATACTTCCGGAAAATTAACTTCAAATTGATGTAGTTTCTCTGGTCTGACTGCTACAAGACTGCCTGAGGGTTGGGCCTCTCCCCAGCATCTTCAGGAACAAGATCAACACAAAGAATTTGTTGAGCTTCTCTACTCTGACCTGACCATTCCTGAGTATGTCTTTTTTAAACCTTTATCATCAAGCTGTTCTAATGATTCCCACAGCTGGATTCCAACTTCTGATGTGTTTGAAGAACTCTGTATTGTAAATTTGAACATGCTTTGCTCTTCAAATGCCTTTCATTTGTGGTTTTCATTTCTTTTTACATTTAATGTGCCCTATTTTGAGTTGTTCTCTTTGAGTAAACTTCAGTTTCTTAAATGCTGACCTTTTTTCCCTCTTGATGGTGGGAATGGGTTGTTTTTTTTCTCTGTTTYGCCTTTGAAAGCTAGTGAATGCTTTATCCAGGTTGCTAATACAGGAAGGGGTCCAAGCTGCTCTTAGACCTTCTTTAGTTTAGAATTGCACTTTCTGTTTTATTTATKAAGTTTTACTGTTCGCTGCCTTTTGTCTTATTTTGAAGTCCTGTATCTGAATACTGATTTAGTTGATTTTTCTCTCAGCCTCAAGATTACACCTAATAGTGCTTAGAACTGTATGGAAGCTTTCCCACTAATGCTYTTAAACAAGGCTTGTGCACTAGTCAAGACCAAATCCTACATTTATGTAGAATTTTTTTAGACTTTTTAGGAAGCCTAATTTTTATGTGGAATGATGTGAAAATTGGAAGATGAACAGATGTTTTTTGCCTTATGATCATCAGCTTTGAGGAGAGTAGTGTTAGAGCAGTAGTACAGTCTTACTGTTCTGTGCTTGAAATAGAAAGAGTGGGCTCAAAGAAATCACGTTTTGCTACGAGTAGTGTTCATGCATTAGATTTTTTTAAGTCAAAACTTTGCAAAATAACTAAGAAACTTGTATGATTTTTTTCCCCAAAAGAGTATTGTTGTCATCTTCTTTTTCACATAGTTGTAATAATAAATCTCTATCACATTCTATGTGAGTAAAGCCACATGTTTTATTACAGATTATATATGCAAGTTTCTTGTTAAAAAGTCTTTCAAAGTCTTTCTTGCAGAACAAAGACTTGTTCAAGAAAGTGTTTGAATTGAATATAAATTTGCCCATTTGCCTAGGCTAGGGGGGAAAAAGAAAACTGAGATGGATGAAAATGAATATTCCTAAAAGATTTTTGGTATGAAATATATCTATAAAAGTAGAGGAAGTAAAGCTTTTGAGTGCAGATGTCTTGCTTGGATACTTTCAAAGTCAGCATGCACTCCATTCAGAAAACAATTCAGATTCAGTTATATAAAACTGAATTTCTGGAAATGCTTTCTTTCTATTTTAATCACAGAGGCCAAGAATACTTATTTGTCATTGCTTGCTGAATTTCTTTGCACTTTTACTTTTCAGACAAAAATAAACAACTCTTCTTGCTAGGCAGTCATGCATTTAAATATTTTCAAATCACTGAAAACAGTTAAACTTTATTATCTATTATGTTGCCTATTTGCTTACCAGCTGCTATTCCTTTTACCAACAAAATTACCATTTGCATCCTTTCTGATTTATTTTTTGGTTCTAGCGTTTTACTTCAGGGTTGTTTGTTTCCCTCTCCAAATACATAACTGCCGATAAAACTTCCATTATAGTAATTCAAACAAGTTCTTCAGTTCAAGCAGTAACATCGGCGTTCCTTTTCAGACTTAATAACATCAAATGATTAAACTAATGGAGCCATAACCTAAAAGCATTGATACTGTTTATTATTCAGACTGCTTTAGCAGATGATTTCATGGTTATTCAAATAGCCTTAATAGCTAAGAGGGTGCTGTGGTCACTGTAGTGGGATTTTTTCTTTTACTTTTACTTTTCCCACCCTATCTACTCAAGTTTAAGAAGCTACTTCAATATAATTTTAAAATTACTTAATTGGTGGTACTTGGTAATCCATTGAGTATCAGGAATGGATGCAGTTGAAAATATAGTCAACATCACGTATGTAATAATGTAATAAAACTATCATGCATTTGAATGTACTTCTGAAAGGTTATAGTGCAGTTATTGCTGATATGACTCATTATTTTCCAAAAACAAATTTTGCTCTTAGAACACTTTCTGTATTTGAGGGTTTTTTATTATTATTTATTTGCTATATACTGTTTTTCGACCGTCCCTGCAGCGACTTTTTCTGGATATTTATTGTTGCGTGTTCACTTATTTTTAATGACAAGGGAAAAGGAAAACAAGACTTTCTTAAGAACTTTATGGAATAAAGCTATCTGAAACTCTCTGAAAACAACTTAATATCAAATAAGAATGAAAAATGAAACCCAGTATCGTTTTTCATTTTATTTCATTGTGTTTCATGTTTATCTTGACTAAACAAGACTTGTTTATCTGACCTTTCGGGCTGGCTGGGCTGCAGATCTGCAGTACGAGCTTTCTGCGGGAGCTGCCCTTGGCTCCTGCAGAGTGTTCCACCTAGCAGACAAGTAGTGAAGATGCTGGAGGTTCCCACCTCTGATCCCACAGCTCGGAGGTGGCCTTTGGCACTGTCTTCTTAAAAACTGGCCAAGATTAAGGATGTAGTGGTTTGTAGAGCATGAATCACCTCCAAAGCTGGAATTCAAATTTGAAATGTTAGAGGAAGGACCTGAAAACAAGTGAACCCTGCAGTGCCCTTAAGTGAAGGGAGCTGCTGAGTTTGCCTTTGTGTCCTTGAAGATGGGGGCTTCTAAGCTGTGCAAGGGGAGATGAGCAGCATGACATGCAATAGGGCTCTGCAGTGGAGGGAGCAAGTGCTTGTCAAGCAGGCATGTCTCATACACTGAGAATGGAAGGTGGACTTCGTGGAGAACCTCTTATGTCATTATTTTCATTTCCTSCTTTGGAGGGTTTTTCAGTTTGCTTTCAGCATTATGGTCTCACTAGGAATTTTATCTGCAGAGACTCTTTTTTTTTCTAGTTCTCTTTATGTTTTGTTCTATGTGGTATCATAATGTACCCTGAAAAATATGATGTCATGACTTCTGGTGGAGATCTCTGCTGTGTAATGGTGTGTCACTTAGTGGCTATTCTAATACAAATTTTAAAAATAGTGATTTACACTAGAATAATTTATGTCTGAGTAAGCAGAATGTCTTCAGACTAATCTCTGTTGTTGTTTTGTTACTGTACTGTAAGTCCTTTGCTTTTTTTACAGTTAGCAGCAGATTTTATTATTCAAACTGGCCKTTGATATTAACAGAGAACTTCACAGCTGTTGGTTTATAGAAATCAGTTTAATTTCAAGAAAAGAAAAATATTTGATCTTCTTTTACACAGCTATTCCTTAAATCATTTATATAACAAAGTACATGCATTAATAAGATCATTCATTTAACCAAGTACATGCATTAATAAGGTAAAATCTGTTTGAACCTTGGCTACTTCTTAATCTTGAAATTAGACTTAAAAGAATGAAATATTAGAATTTTTATCAATAAATTTAAATGGAAATGGCATAATTTGAACTAATGGTTGAATAAAGTGGTGACATTCCCACATTAAATATGAAGATTTGGTATATTACATTAGATATTTTCACTTATTTTTATGAAGACTAGAATTTTTATGAGCAGTAATTCAGAAAAATGTGTCTGCTTAATGGAATCATTCTCCTTAAGACTATTTATACAGACATTGTTTTCTGCCCTTCTGCTGTCCTCTCTTTTTAACCAGAGTATTTTTTTTGTGTCTGTTTCTTTTTCTCCCCTTAGTTTCAGCCCAGACTCTCAAGAGCAACCTTGACTCCATGGCCCACCAGATCCAGCGCCTYGAAAATGACATTGAACATTTCCCTAAAACAAGAGACGCACAGGATAAATTTGTGGAAAAGATGAGCATATCCTTTTTGTGTTTCTTGGTGGTCATCTGAATGTTCTACTTGTCTGGTAAAGTATTTGCATCACTTGAAAGAGGGGGAAAAATAATTTCAATGATTTTTTTCCCTGGTACTAGCACAGTGTGTAAATATGTAATTGCCTGAGATTTAAGGATTGCTTGCAGTGCACTTTGAAGTTATTGGGATCCTGAAGCTGACCTGGACAGTAGGCCACTAGGAGCAGCTGGTTTCAAAACCTGATAAGAATTACAACCATGTTAGAGCAGACAGTAACGTATGGTTTAAAATAAAAGAAAATATTAAAATATTCCTTGCATAAATTTAATTTTATATTAAATAACTTATGATTCTTGGGACAACTTGTCCGTGAGCTGATCCATGGCACAAATTATACTTTAATATCAAATGGTAAATAATTTAACTTTAGCTGTGGGCTGTTTCTTTTATAATTAGTCTAGCTTCATGCAGCTGGGGAGTCTGATTCAACAGTTTTAAAAAGTAATTAGAGATTATGACAAATTTTGGTGTTTTATTTCAGTGTTTGGGCCTTTAATTAAAGAATTTTAAATGGAAAACTATGAATTCTCTACTCCTGATAGGAATATGCCTAATCTTCTTTTTAGTGATGTTAGAATAGATGTATGTAGATACATGCATAGATCTATACTTTCCTAGATAGGGGTTGAGAAATATATTCTGTTAATGGGGTTTAACTTTGCATATTATTAGAAGGGTTAAAGATAGAACAGAATAAAATGCTATTTCAGGGGGGCAGCCATGGAAAGTTGAACAGTTAATGGCACTTCAAGCAAGTATTTTAATGCACCTGTTGAAGTTAGTTATTTATTTCAGATAAAAAGTTTTCTAGACAGTATTTATTCATGTTAAATAGAACAATCTTGTGAAATAATTATGTTTTCATAAATGAGCACCATTCATTGAAGCAAAATCCTCACTTAAAATCAASCTTTCAGCTTCTCAGATTTCTCAACCGCTATCAGTGCGTGCTCACAGTCCTATGCTGTGGTCCAGTAGTGACTATTGCCGCACAGTAAAACATGAGTTTTATTAATTCCATACTTGATTGACATGAGTGGCAAAAAAATAAAAATAAAAAWAAAATCTGGGAAAAAAATCTACTTTRGCTTCTGCAGGGCTTTTGTGCATTGAGAATGTTAGAAAATATTTAATGTTCATTGAACAATCACTGCTAATTCTCTTTGCACGGTACCACAAATTCTCCTAGAGTGTGCCACGAGGGAAGAAGCAAATCTGCTTTACATCAGAATCTCAGCATCTTGAATTTCTTTCAATTATTTATTTATTTTCTTTCCCCCTCGCCCCTCTCGGAATGACTGAGCAGCAGGACATCGTTAACACTGTGACAAGGAGCACTGAAGGAATGTTAATGACATTAACTCTCCTGTCATCCCATAGCACTTGGGATTTCCTCCTGGCTTGTTATGGAGAAATCCTTCACTGCAAGCCTTTTGAGATGTCACTTCTAGGAAAGCCTGTTTTGTTTTTCAGCTGATTTGAAATGCACTGGTGCCTTCATTTCTGCATGAATATGAATATTAGCATCTGAATTCATTCATAACCAGAGGCTCCTCAAAAATAATCCAAAAGGGAGAAAATTTCTAGGAATTTTTATGTGCCCCTGCTTTTGAAATAACTGGTACTTTCCCTGACTCTATTTAAATGTATTTTTAAATATAGAGGCATTTTCTAGTTCTTTGGAAGTTGGAGAAGAAAAACTTACTCAAAGATTTTGAATTCTAGGTCACTTATAATCCTTTTTGTCCAAGTTATAAAAGGGCTTTTGGCTTATGATATTTATCTAAAGGATTTTTTGTTTTGTTCTTGCTATCTACAGAAATGACATTTGAAATTATTTTCTTGGGGAAGTCCAGCCCTTGACTGAAAGAAGTATTGGGGAAAATCATGGTGATATATCCAGATAAGATATCTTTTCCCTGAATAAGATACCTTTTCTCAGGAAAGTATCTAGGGAGAAAAGGTCCTTCTTTCTGATGTTTAGACATCRATAAGGCTGTGGTCCTTTTTCTTTTGTTTGTTTCTTTTTCTTCTTTTGTTTTTCTCCAGACCTGCTTCTCAAGCTTCGTTCTTGCTCTGTCTACTCCCAAGGAGAAAAAAWTTCTAATTTGTCCTTAAAGGCAGCAAAGAAGCACTTGCCCTTGCTTCAAAGTCATGGAGAATTGTGTGATGAACAACAAAGGAACAGGAAGGTCTGGGTGTAGCATTCGATTGGGGTTGCGTTTGTCTTATAGCAGCATAGTCAGAGGCCTTCATGCCCTGTGGTTCATGACCTGCATATTATTTCTTCTCTGATTGCTCGGACACTCTGCACGACGTACAGTTTATTATATGAAAGGTGATCCTGCTTCTCTCTGCTACTTAGCTTGTTGCCTCAGATGATTTTGGTACCCAGACTTGCTCCAAATTGTCACAAAAGCCTCAAAGCTCCAGTGTAGGGTTTGTTCACTTTGCAGTAGCTGTTGTCAGTCCGTGCACTTGCTAGCAAAGGTAATTTTGCCATTTCTGTATCAGATGAGATGTTTTCGTGAGCTGCGTGGTGTGTAAGGGACTGAGTATCCACCAAATGTGGATGCCCCAAATTTATCTCTATTTTGTTGCCCCAAMTGCATGAAAAGAATCCCTGGCATGCATTTTTGAAATGAAAATCAACAGGGTATTATTTTATGAGAGGTTACATTTAAAAACCTTTTATCTCTGAACACTTGCTTCATATGTAAATGGCTGTGCGAACGCAACCAAGACACGCTTGATTAAACCAATCGTGCTCGCAATTCTGAGAAGTACTTCTGAAGGCCTGACGTATTTGATCAGCATAGGCAGAAAATCTCACTTCTGAAAGTACTGTGATGGAAGATAGGAAGAATTAGTACAAACATATAATCTGCCTTGCCTTTCCAAACTAGCAGCTTTTTCAGTAAATTCAGGGCATTGACAATACGTAGGTGTTTTTTTCCTTCCTTTCATTCTTTTATTTTTTACATTGTTAGTTATTCAAGCTCATAACCTCTCAGTATTTTGAATCCTGTTGAAGAACTGACCTAGCCATGTTCAAAACGAGGTTACAATTTATGCTGTCATGTTTATGCAATTGCCATTCTGGAAAACAACCTCTTCAATCTTGAGGTCAAATGCACTTAAGTTGTCTCCTTACTCTTTGAAGAGTGTTTCTCCAGTGTATGAGGAAGTCTGCTTGTGCCAGGGTAGCCTTTACATAGGTTCCAKTTGAAAAACTAGGTAGTTGTGAGTTTAGAAAAATCACCTTTCTGATTTTTAGAAAAATCAAGGATTTCATTGTAATTTCATTGTACTGTTGCTTTTATTTCCTTCATAGGAAAGAGCTTCATACAAGTTCTAGGGAATTTTACCTTTTTTTAATATATTATTTTAGAATTATTGTACAGTTTTTTTCAATAGTCATTTTAGGTAAAACATGATCATTTATTTATTAACATGTTATGAATTTCACTTGTTCTTAAATGTTCGACTTAATGGCTTGTGCAAGCTGCTAAAATTTGTGGAATAAAAGTCTGCAYGTGCAGGTGTAGTGCCAATTTATTTTATTTATATCCCAGAAAGTATAAGTTTATATTTTACTTATCGTATGAATCAAATCACTTTTTTAGTCTGCTTTCAATATATACTATCTAAAAAAGGAACTTTTTCAGGTTGAGATATTTCATGTTAGGTTATTTAATTTGTTGTACTGTTTATGTGTGTGGTTATGCGAAACAGAATTTGGGAAACTATAACATTCCRAATATTTTTGTCCTAATATGGATTTTATATGATACTTCACTGGGTTCTTGCTATCTACTTAACTTTTTTCTCTTTCCAGTCTTGAATTTTAATGTTTGCATTTGTGCTTTAATGAGGAATTTTGGATAGATTTGTGTAATAGATAATGAAATGAAGCCTATTCTATTCCTTTATGAAAAAGAATTATATAAACCAATAGAGAGAGATTAGCAAATCATTGTTGCAGTGTTTGACTAATTATATTAAAATTGTTAACTTGCTTTGAGACGAGATCAGTCTTACCGGCTGCCATAAGGGCATAAACAAAATAGCAATGTACTTCAAGTGAGCTATCAGTCAAGTGCTTGAGGGACCAGTATAAAGTCCACTTTCATGTAACACCTCCATGAATAGTCTGGAAAAGAAAACAAACATTTAAATCCACAGGTAACAAATGCATAAATAATGAAAACACAAGTGAGAAATACAGAMTGACTCAGGGAGAATAAAAGTATCAGAACAGTTGAAGTACAGTGACCCTGAAAAAGAGTTTGCTAGTATATTTGAGAGAAAAAATAATAGTTTATCAATGTGTTTATGAAGATATAGTTCATTAAAAAAAATGAATTGTATTCTCTTTTCTCTATAATAAAAAACATGAAGCAAGCACCGTTTGAAAATGCAATACAGATCATATGTTCACAGTCCTTTCTAGAACAAAATTACTTTAAGAGGCTCGTCTTGATTGTGTTCTGTTGAGAAGCTTTTTTAAAACGTGTGATCAGTGGGGTTTTTTTTATGTTCATGTACGTATTATATATTGGAGAAATTAGGCAGGCTTGATAAGTTAGGTAAGTTAGAACTTCGACGTGGAATTGAACACAGGGCTGTTACGTTGGAGCTATCTATCACAGTTGTGAAGTGGTTCTTTTTGCGGAGACAAACTGAGAGATTTGGAATAAAGCTATACATCATTTTCAAGGTTTTTTTAGAAATATTTTTCTTGTTTCTTTTTGGTTCGGGCATGACTTCATGTGGACTTTTTTGGAGTTGCTTGAGTATCAATATATAAAGCATTGTGGGTGTTGCTTATATTAATTCTGTGACTTCTGAATGTAGAGCGTTTACAGTTGTTAAAAGCTGAATTGCTTGCACTGATGAGTTCAGATGCTGCAGCTTCATCTCCGTCAGCTGATCTCAGTGCT